TTATCTTTCAACGTGTGATTCCTGGAACAGCCGACCTCTAGTCCAATATTGTTCTACTCGAATAGCGACCAAGTTGTTGCAGGGACATTTCACCATTTGTTCTATAATAAGTCACTAACTTTCAACATTTGCCCATACAATGAGATAATAATCATAATATAATGATGATATGTGATTTATTTGTTCCAAGGAAAAAAATTCATGAAATATATAAAGATAAAAATGAAAAAGAATTGATTACAGAAGAATCCACAAAAGGAGAATCCCTGAATATGGTAATTTATCCATAGTCTTCTACATTATTACTAGCTTCATAAAAAATGTAATGGAAAAAAATAGAAATAACAGGAATACAGAACAATTTTGAAAACTTGAGATTTTCTGTTATTAACAAGAATAATACATATTTATCATATCAATAAATTGATAAACAATCAATCAAGAAAGTTATAAACTTTGCTTTTGAAAATGTTCAGATAGACAGATAAATTATACAGTGTATTTCTTTAATTTCCTCCTCCTTTTATTTTTTGAGCGGGTCAACTCAAAAAATTGAAATTTGGAATAATGTAATGAATGCATGAATACTTTATTTTGAAGTAAAATTGACAGATGAAACTTTCGGGATGGTGATTGGGCGCCATATGGGAAAAAATTAAATGGAAAGGGGGTCTTGTGACACATCTTTTTGAAGCTTCTGACAGATGCTTCACAACCCTAGAATATAATGTCAATATCGTTAACTACTACAAAATTGCGGAACTTTAAATAATTGCCTGAATACATTGAAATTTAACTACAAAATATGAGATAATAAGTTTGAGGACAGTTCAGAAGATGCTCGAAATGGTTACTTTGAAATTCTTGACATATGAACAGCCTATCCGATATTCCTCGCCTAACATTTTCGAAAACAGTAACGTGAATATCTCTACAAATATTTATTATTCTCTGCCGTATATCCAAGTTTGAAGCAGGTTCATTTTCGTACACCTTTTGCTTCAAATAGTTCCATAAAAAAAGTCCAAAGGTGTCAAATCTGCTGAGCGGGTTGGTCACTCTGTAGGACCTCGACGGCCAATCCAACGACCAGAAAAAGTAGTATCCAAATTGGTTTCTTACTTGTGCAGACCAGATATTTTTCTCGAGAGAATGTATCTGGTTGTATGTATGTATGTATGTATTATGTATAGATCAGTATATTTCAGTACACAGTAGAAGAATAAACATTCGTTGAGATACGAGCAAAGAATTCATCATCTTTTGAAGATAGAGGCCACTACTGTACACTGTGCAGACTTTTTTTGAAAATAAGTCATATCGTAATTAATATTTAAATTTATAAAAGATTATGAAGTCAATATCTTCACCTAAGTACTACAAAATGGCGAAACATTTAATAATTTCCTGAAAACAAACACATTAATATCAACATTTCTAGAAATATTCCTTTTCATCTACCATATGACAATTTTAACAACCCGATAAAGTTGGTTAAGTTATTTTTTGTTTATAAAAACGACGAAAAATGTCAGCACGACAATGAACATCATTGTTCATTTAGAATATTCTCATTAAGTTTTCGGTTTTACTAGTAGAAAGGTACGTCAACAATCTCTAAAATGGTCAATTCTCGTCCATTGGAGAAAAAAATTGAAGCGATTTTTATTTACGGTGCGACGCGTAACTTTCACGAGACCGAAAAGATTTTCAATGAACGTTTTCCGAATCGTCCTATCTGTAGAAAATATTTGAGGAAACAAATAATTGGGGACATGGTAGTAAATCCTGAACAGTCTACTTATTCCGTCGCGAGGTGAGGTGACTCCTTCTACTGTGTAGAGACTTTTGAAAAGAAATAGGTATCATCCATACAAGAATAAAATAGTACACTAATTAACTGAAGACGACCCTGATCGAAGAACAGAATTCTGTGAAATCATGACGGAAATCATTGCAAGACATCCTACTTATCTCCACAATATTTGTTTTAATGAGGAATGTTAATTTTTTTTTAAACGACAATGTTCACAGACAAAATTGCCGTTATTTGAGTGACATCAACCCTCACGTTTTCCGGGAAACACATACCCAATATCCGGAAAAAATAACGTTTGGGCAGGAATATTGGGAAACCATATTGTAGGACCTCTATTTATTGATCAAAATTTAACAGGGAAGCTGTATTTGAATATGCTGGAAACTACTGTTGACCCTCTCATCACTGAAATCGTCGAAGCGAATCCTAATGAATTCGATATGAATATTGTATTCTAAGAAGATGGAGCACCACCACATTACTCCAGACAAGTAAGAAACTATTTGGATACTACTTTTCCCGGTCGTTGAATTGGCCGTTGCGGTCCTATAGAATGGCCAGCCCGTTCACCAGATTTGACACTTTTGGACTTTTTTATGGGGCTATTTGAAGTGAAAGGTGCTGAACCTGCTTCAATATTGGATATACGTCAGAGAATAATCAATATTTGTAGAAATATTGACGTTACTGTGTTCGAAAATGTTCTGCGTGAAATATGGGATAGACTACTCATATCTCAAGAAGTTCAAGGCAACCATTTCGAGCATCTTCTGAACTGACCTCTAGCTTATTTCCTTATATTATGTAGTTAAATGTCAATGTATTCAGGCAATTATTGAAAGTTCCGCCATTTTGTAGTAGTTGAAGATATATATTCTAGGGTTGTAAAGCATTTGTCAGGAGCTTCAAAAAGATGTGTCACAAGATCCCCCTTTCCTTTTGATTTTTTCCCAGATGGCGCCCAGTCGCCATCTTGAAAGTTTCATCTGTCTATTTCACTTCAAAATGAAGTATTTACGCATTAATTTCATTATCCCATATTTCAATTTTTTTAGTTGACCCGGTCACAAAATAAAAAGTGGGGAGACATGCACTTTATAAATCAGCGGTAACTAGCGGAAATACTAGTTGGCAAACGAATATTCCAATTTTACGACCTCTTCACAGAAAATATATCTCTTCGAAACATCTCGTGAATTCATATCTTTCGAAGTGTGCGTCTTTCTTACTGTAGGACAGACAGTGCAGCAGGAATTCCAATAGCAGCGGTTACTTGCAGCATCTGTTCCCTCCGATAACGACGCCACTACACCGGATCTATAATAGCCCTCAAACGTTCTTCACTTCGATAACTTCCTTGTTCATGTGCCACTACGGAAATTGGACCGAAAATAGGAAACTCAGATTTCAGTGTGGAAATGAATTGGTGGAAAAAACAAACGACTTGAGAAAAATCAAATAGACAGAAGTGAAACGGTTTCTCATTTTGTAACTTATCTTTGATTTCATTTGCAGACTTACGTGTTTTCGCAGTACTTGGTTGGGTTTTTATATCAAAAGGTTGTCAATAACAATAGTTCAAGAACATTGATAAGTTACCACGTGATAAATTGAAAGAGCTATGTTTTCAGGAGAGACAGTTTTTTGGCAAAGAAAGATTTTGGCTCTCTATTTCTCCACCTCTGAACAAACATGTGGGAATCTTCCAAAGAAAGAAAGAAAACAAATAATTTCAAAATAATTTTTCTACAAAGATGTGTCGATCGTGCAAAGAAGTAACTTTCTGACAAAAACTGGAATAAAAGCCCTCTCGACACATCTACGTTCATATAAACATTGAATTATATAAATATGAACAATTTGAATATGAACACTGAATTATACAAAAAATACTTTTATTTTATTTCTAAATATTCGTTATGGAATTGAATCAGAACATCCTCACAGGCAGATACTGAAATTTCAGCATAAAACACTTCCTAATGAAACATTCAATTCATTCATAAAATTATGACTTTTTGTCACGAATGGGTTTAATCTCATGTCATCGATGACAGTACGAAATAACACCCATGCGCTCATTTGATTCGATGACATGAGTGACATAAAAACGTTATTTTGTGAATGAATTGAGTGCTTCATCTCATAATGTTATCCATATTTGGTGCTGAAGAAGCGATAAGGCAGATGTTTCATGCCAATACATCGAATGTGCACCAGTGAAGGTGACAGTGTGCATGAAATTTTCACCTCTTTCATTTTGTATATTGTGTAGAAATCCTATAAATGATATCTGATTCAATTCCATAACGAATATTAGGAATACAAAATGAATAGAGAAAATATTTTTTTATATAATTTAGTTTTTATATAAAAGTATTTGCTTCGAAACAATTTTTCTTTCGTGTAATTCAAGGTTTATATAAAAGTATCTGCTTCAAGAGGACTGTTCTTCCAGTTTGTGTCTGAAAGTTACTACTTTGCATGATCTGTATATTTATGTATAGAGTTGATTTTTTGAAATTTGATTGTATCCTTCATTTGCTCCTTTATTTGGAAGATTCACACTTTTTTTGTATGAAGTAATTTATTTCTTCTCATTGTCCAGTCATCAGATTTTGATTCAAGAATTAATAAACAAATATCTTTTTTTGATTTATTGCTTCCATATTTGTCTCTAGAACGAATATTTCAAAATGTGGCCTCATGTATAATTGTTGACCCCCGTATACTATTATTGAGGTGTTTTTTTATTATTTCTGAAAGTTATTGTTATTTAGAGTGGGTCGTTTTCAAATCGAATAATTTGTAGCTCCATCATAAGTTTCAGGCCATATGTTTTATACTTTGTTGAAATCTGCTCATCATGGAGCATCTGATAATGCAAAACAATTGATCCATTTATGAAAATGGTGACATGCTCTGGGGGTGTCATAGGGAAAGTAAGATCAAATTGTGTCCCCCTGTACACTATTGTTGACGTGTTTTTTTATTTTCCTGAAAATCATTGAACCAAAAATTATTCAGGGTGGCTTGTTTTAAATGGAATGCACTGTATATATTTATATAAAATATTTTGGAAAAATTATAAATATATTATATTGCAGTCATTATTTAGGAACACGTGATATTTTTGTGCAATGAATCAATTTTTCTGTAAACGTTCAAAGAAAACACTTACTCTCCAATATTTCCTGGAGTTTCCGAATCTGGTGGCTCCTTTCTGACCAAAGTAATTGTGGCTCCCGTGTGCCTTGTATTGATGTCTACTGTGATATTCCATGCACTTGCACCAGATGGAATTGCTTCCAGAAGATGAACTCCACTTTTTACGCGAGCTCTGAAACAAACGAATGATGAATTCAATATATGTCTGATATGCTCTAACAACGATTAATTTGAAATAGATGTGTATAATATTGTCAACTAGTTGTTGCCCGCGGCTTCACCTGCGTAGAATTTGGTTTGTCACATTAAGTTTCGTGACAAACTATATTTAAACCAATAGTTACAATATTCCTTTACCAAGCCAAAACTTCAGGTTTTCAACTTGAAAACTAACGAAATTCAATACAATTAAACCCCTATTTTTCACCATTGGTGTGGAATTTCCTGATTCCCTTTCTTGGTGATTATCTACGCTATACAAAGAATCTACCTGCATATTTCAAGTTTCTAGGTTCAATAGCTTCCGATTTAAGTACGTTTATCATAAGAGTGTCAGTCAGTATAAAACCTCCAGTCCTCTCATTTTACTGTTAACATGGCTGATGTCACGAAACGAGAAAAGAAGAGAAGAGAAGAAGAAGAAGAGAAGAAGAGAAAATTTCTGAATTAATATTTCCAAATCAGCCTGGAAGTATTCATTGAGGAAATAAAATATATTGTCATGTAACAGTTTTTTTATTTTTTTTTTTTGAATGAATGCAGGTTTGATAGCTGTTTAAGGGAGATAGGTAGTTTGTCAAATAACTTGATGGGCATAAGTAGAGGGCCGTTTGCTGCTTTCGTCAATTTATGGTGGGGAACAATAAAATTATAGTTGGTCTTAACGTATATTCTGTGTTGAGACGAAGATTATCTCTTGATTAAAATTTGTCACCATGAGTTTTCTCATAAACAACACAGTTTAATATAAATAGTTTAGGTTTGTTCTGGTTATCATTTAGTACTGTTTCAAATCGTTCAAAATCAGTGACTCAGTTGTGGACTGAAAAGCTTAACGCGACAAAATGTTCAGTATTCAGTTGGGTGACTGTTTTCTGACTGTTAGGAATAGTCTGGGCAGATAACCAGAACAAGCCTATTAGTAATTCGTTTATTCTTGTACAGTTACCAAAGGTAATCAGACAATAACTGAGCATAGTAATAGCTCTTCAATATATTCAATGGAAAAAATTACGAAGATTACGAATTACAAAACAATGTTTCGACAGTTTACTGAGAATATAATCAATGTGCTTGTTCCAAGAGAGTTGAGCATCAATGTTCAAACCTAAAAATTTTACAGATGAAGTTTGTTGTATTATTGACTTGTCATGTATTCCGACCAGAACACTGTGATCATTCTCATTTAGTGAACAGACGATTGTATTAGTTTTTGAGCTGTTCAGAATGAAACCATTTTAAGAACAATATTTTTGCACATTAGCAACTACTTGATTGGCCTAACACGACAATCCTTCATAATCTGAAGACTTCAGAGTGAAAGAAGAATCGTCGGCAAATTGCACTGTACAATGTTGACGATTACTGTTGTTGAGGTCATGTACGAATAAAAGAAAGAGAATACGCTACCCTGGGGAACACCGGTGGGAACGACACAGCTTTTAGAGTGGAAGGTACCAGCCTCCAGTTTAACCCATATTTGGAATAACACAATCGAGAAACATGGAGAGTCAAGAGCTGTTGCGGTTGATATTTGTAAGGCCTTTGACCAGGTGTGGCATGAGGGTTTGCTGGCGAAACTTCTACGCTATGACTTTTTGTATCACTTTTGTGTATGGCTCACCATCAACGCTGGTGTTCTCTAATGATCCATATTGTCTCCAACCCTCTTTTTATTTTATATCAACAACTGATTGGAATAAACCAAGAATCCAATATATTGGATTGCTGACGACAGCAAGCTCTTCATCATATTTGGATTCCAAGACATCTGCTGCGAATGCACGTCTTTACCGGCAGCACGTCTTAATGAGGATCTAGAAGTTATTTTGAATTGGCGTGAAATTAACCAAGTTCAATTCAATGTCACAAAAACCCAGGCATCAGTTTTCTCCAAAAAGATGAATGTTTCCTAACAGGATATAATGATGTCAGGTCAAACAATTCCGCTTTCTGCTTCTATAAGATTGTTGGGGGTTAAAATGGACACCAATATGTCTTTGCACAATTATGTCGCTGGAATTGCAAAAGCCGCTTTTCAAAAGTTTGGAACACTGTTCCGAACCAGAAAACTAAACACACCTCAGTAACTTTTGAAGCTTTATAAAGCTCAGATCAGACCTTCTTTGGATTATTATTGTCATGTATGGAGTTCCGCCTCCAATCATACCTTGAAACGGCTAGATTCCATCCAGAAAAGAACCATCTATCTGATTGGAGACGCGAACTTCACTTGCAACTTGATAGTCTGGAACATCGAAGAAAGGTTAGAGATTTGTCTCTCTTCTATAGATACTTTCACGGGAAGTGTTCAAGTGACTTGGTACAGAAACTTTAAATTTTCAATATCAAAAATGAGGATGGAATAGATTGCTTTTATACAGGGATAAAATAGTGCAATCATGAAGAGAGTATAAAAAATCCTACAGGAACGACCACAAATCAAAAATGTGGGTTGATAAATCGATCACTTCCTCAAAACGGGCATTTATTGATGGACTTTCGACATGATCAAAAAATCCATTATGTAAATTATAACTGTGTTGTTGTATTAGACCACGGGTCTCCAAACTTTGAAGCCTTCAGGTCATAATGATTTTTTCAGTTTATTCCAAGGGCCAATTTCTGCCCTTAACTATATTTCTAGACTAGGATATTCGCAAAATGCGTGAACTAAGCAAACTTACGATTATTATTGTGTATTGTAATACTTAACGACATCTAGTGGCGAGTAGTGGTACTATGTACTATCTTTTTGAGCTACCCGCTAGGTGGCATTAGGCGTAATTAAATATTTGGAGTTACCGCGTTGGTTCCAGGAAGTTCTGGTTCTAGCTAGTGTATTCCGATCACCTCGGCAGTAATAATTGCATATAAAAAGGCTAGCGGCGCAACTGCGAGTTAGTCTGCGTAGGAAAGGCGAAGGAAGCGAAACTGTCTATTGTAAAATAAAGTAACACCCGTCAATAAAAGTATTTTGATTTGACTTATTGTTTTTATGTGTGATTTGTTAGT